GTGACGATGCCTGCAGAGAGCTTAGTGTTCATCTGTCTGGAGTGGGTGAAGGTGACAGCCAGGTGTTGCCTGGAAGCTCAAAGCCCAGGTCCTCCCTTAGCCACTGGGTTCCTCCTTCTGGACCCCTGTGCTCAAAATCTGCCCCTTGTGTACCTGACTACACCTCTTCCTGGGAACCACTGCTGTGGCTGTGAGATGAGCTGGCTGGAAGGGACGGGTGGCCATGCTAATGCCAGGGACTGTGGCTGCAATGGGGCTCCTAGGACATCCTGGCTATGGGCCCATGTGCTTCTGCAGAACAGTCCCACACTCACACCGTGGGGGTGATGCCGGCAAGAACAACATAGCACGGGGCCAAATGCAAATTGTTTTAAAACACACAGATGAACTTGGTTCAGGTGGTGCCAAAGAGTTCTTGATTTCAGCTGAGAGTTATTCGGTGCACTTTTACTACCATCATCCAATCAAAATACAACTGTTCACAGAGTCATTAAGTTGTACTTATAGGAGATGCTATCAAGAAAAGCAGGTCACAAATTTAACCTGAGTTGCCAGCCTGATTTTATCTGCTTTTTTGCAAGCCCCATCGGAACTTCAAATCTCTGTGCTTTCTTTTCCTTTGTGAAGTTGCTACTCTGGACGCTGAGAATCAATTTGATTAAGTGATACTTACCTCTAGCCACTCAAAGCACCTAACTGCCCTCAAGTAAGCAATGTGATTCCCAATCCCAAGGAAAAGTAGGAAAGACAGCACCAAATAAGATGCTAATGGGGACACCTGTTGCATGGACTGTAGGTTCCATCAGGGGTCAGGAAACAAAAAGATGGTGTCACTTACCATGTACTGAGCCCATGAGCCCAAATCACAGTGCACTACCTGTGCAGCTGCACAGGACCTTCACTTAGAAGTCCTGCTCTTTAATGCTCTGTGACACTGTTCTGAAATTCTTAGTTATTATGAGCCTGGTGCCCTGTATTTTCTTTTGCACCAAAGCTGTTTCCTTTTCTTTCTGAACACACAGCTAGACTCTATCTCTCACCCTCCCTTGCAGTCAGGTGTGGCCATGTGATGAGGTTTAATCAGACAAATATGTGAGTGCCATATGCATGCTGTGACCTGTAGAACCTCCATGCACGGTCCTTTTAAACACACACATGAGCTTGGTTCAGGTGGGCCAAAGAGTTCTCACCTCAGCAGAGAGATGCTTGTGCACTTTTACTGGCTATTCATGGAGTCATTCAGCTGTGCTTCTAGGAGATACTGTCAAGGAAAGCTGGCCAGGATTTTCCCCTAACGGGGGTGTGGCCACGCGGGAAGCCTGTGTTGAAGATGGCATAGCTCCCATCAGCCTGGGTTGAATGTTTGGATAACTGTATGGAGCAGCTCTCCTGCACCCCGCTTTTTTGTCCCAGCCACTTGGAGCTGCCTCGGACCCTCATGGGAGCAAAAACTACAGGCCTCTTGTGCTGAGAGTCTCCAGATGTAGCTCTGTGGTCTCTGCAGCCCCTCCTGCTGCGGTGCCTCTCTATCAGAGGAAGAGACACTTTCTCAGGAACCTCCTAGTTGCTTCCCTCACTCAGCTTAGTGGCCAGAATTAAGTCTCGTGTCTGTTCCTAGTCCGATCCCTTTCAAGGGTGGCTCACCACGATCACCTTGGTTAACAAGGACTTGTGCCTGAAGGCAGGACGCAGGTGGCAGAGCCAGGAGAGACATTTTGAGCCCTTCCTTGTCCCATTTTTATCATGAAAACAGTTTTACAGGTGCTGATTCTGCAACAGTCTCTGGCTGTGGCCTCATGGCCAGAATTGTGTAACATCCTTTCCCTCCAACTCTTTGCCACCAGGGAGTCTGGGAAGGAGCAGAGTTGTTAAGACTGGCTTAGACCCATCATGGCTATTACCTGGGGCTGGCCTGTGGCTGTTTCTGAACCAAAGTGGGATTCTTCTAGTAAGAAACAAGGAGGAATGGATATTGAATAGGCAACAAAGGTGTGTGTCACAGTCTACACTCTAGAAGCTTGGGGTAAGGAGAGTGGTTTATAAAAATAAGGTAAGTGGGATTTGAACTGCTCCTGGCCAGGAGGAGGGAGGTTTCCAGGTCTGGAACACTTATTGATGCAAATACTTCCAGATCAGGTGAAGACCAGAGCAGAGCTCGCATCTGAGCCCATGCTGATGTCCAGACCAAATCCAGCATTCTTCTCACTGGCAATGTCCTCCTGTTAATCCAGCCCCTACAACTTCATTGGTTATTGAGTCTCTGTAGCCGAGGCCAGTGGGTATGGAGATTGTGCAGCCAACTAGGCCACTGATAAGAAGGGCTCAGTCTTCCTACCTGAGTTCTTTGGCTCTAGTGTGGCTTTCCCGTGGTCCTCCCATTGCGCTTCCTCCACTCTCTTTGCAGTGTCTTTGCCTACGTGTGTCACAGGACAGCTCTGTTCACCTGCCATCCTGACCAGGTGTGTGCCCAAGAGCACCGCTCCCCAACAGGAGTGCCATGGGTCACAGGTGTAATTTTAAACTATCTAGTAGCCACATTTTAAAAAGTAAAAAGAAACACATGGAAATAAAACCTATACTTGAATTAATGCAATGCAATGCAAATATCATTTCAACATGCAATCAGTAGAAAAATTCTCAGTGAGATCTTTTTTTACTCTTACTAAGTCTTTGAAATATGGTTTGTATTTCATACTTTACACATCACAATTCATACTAGCCACATTTCACATGCTCAATGGTCACATGTGGCTGGTGGCTGCCACATTAGAGTGCAGTTCTGGGGGACAAACACCACTCTACTCATCTCTTCATCCCTAGTGCCTGCTGAATAGTGGGCCCTTAGTAAATACAGAAAGAACAAATATGGCCACGCTGTTAGGAATGGGTCTTTCTCAGACATAAGTGTTTGGGGGGGGGGGGGTAGACCAGAAAGCCCTGAGGCAGTGTGGCTGGTAATCAAAAGCATGGATTTGCATTCATAGCCCTTGGGTAAGGCTTTATTAGCAGCTGACCCAGATCAAAACTTTCACCTCTTTGTGTCTGTTTCCTCATCTGTAAAGAGATACAGCAACACCTGTCTTGAAAGATGTCAGGACAGTTAAATGGGAAGATACACACAAAATGGGGAGTACTTGGCTTGCAGTAAGCCCTCAGAAGAGGCAGCTGTAGTTACGTGAGACTAAATGCTCCATGAGTCACATGGAGAAGTGGGGTTTTAGGAGCAACCGTATGGTTAGGCCAGAGCTGTGTTGGTTCGGGTGTAAGGTCTGGGTTCTCCTGCTTTGGGAGCTCTCCTGGGGGAGTCTTAAAGCCCTCCATGGTATTTCTCTTTTTGGCTATAGCTGGGAGAAGTCACAGGCCAACTGCAGGGCTTGGTAAGCAAGGACAAACGCCAGACGTGGCCGCTCTCACTTAGGGAGTTGCTGACTGTTCATTGTCCCTCCGGAGCCTGAGGGCTCAGCCTCTCCTGGGAACTCAGTGGCAGCTGGGCCCCTTCGTACTGGTGAGGCCCTGGGTCTCTGCCACCTGCTGTCTGCTGCTCCCACTGTCAGCCTCGCATGCTCCGCCCTTCTCTTGGCACCCACTGGCATTTTTTTCTCTAAATTACCTGCCTTGAAGTATAGTTGTTTTAATAATGGAAACAAATGTTTCATTATTATCCCCCATTTTGAGAATGAAAAATCGGCCAAACAAGCCAATGCACAGTGACATTAGGAAAAGCTAAGGCTAACTTTATTAAAAAGCTTCTTTGTGGTATCAGGCAGGAAGTGAAATGGCTTTAAATGGCAAACATTTCTCAATCATTTAATGCACTGGCAATCTTGGCATTCTTTCTCTTCTGTCCCTTAAAGAAGAAAGCAGTGCCCAGATATAACACACAAGAGAGGGGAAGGAAACTGAGTCAGAGCATTGCTACAGAGCCTCTCGGAAGGGTCTCTGGAGCTTTGCAGGAAGGCCAAAGAGAGATGCGAGTATAGGAAGGTTCAGGGTCTGCTGTACGGTTATGCCTGGCCTACCTGGTGAATTGCTGCCTGTTGGTCGGTACTATGGGCCAAATGAGTTTCTCAAATCTGTCACTGTTGGAAATACCATAAATGCCAGATTTTGGACTTTAGCTTGTAAGTCCATTTTCTGTGGGTGGTGAAACCCTGATCCCCACATACAACATTTAGCCCTCTGTGAAATGCCATTTGTCCTTATTTCTACTGCAAGTTAGGCTCTCTTCACAGAACATAAAAACACAGTGAAGCATGATTGGTTAAATCTTTTCCTGAAGAAAAAAATCGCACTTACTTATTGAGTACCAAACCAATAGAAATTAAAAGGGAAACCAGAAGATTGTTGCCACTGATATATTCTTGCAAAATTGTACTTTTTAAGACTTATTTATAGATCTCAAACAGGATATGGCACATAGGAGGTGTTCAGTAAATACCCCTTAATTGATTAAAATGAAGAAATAGACTTAAAGATCTTTAAGCGAATAGGTATCCTTTTAAAAATAGTAGTTGGTTTTAATCAGTAACAAAAATTGTTGTCAGGTGGAATCATGTTGATCGGGAGCAGAAGTCTGGCTAACACAAAACAGCTCTCGAATGTCATGACTTTAGGATCTCACCTGAAAATTCTCAGGACGGTTTCCCACATCTTATTAACCTTCGGGCTGTTCTGTAGTGGCAGGTGGGCAGCATTCTAATAAGGAAGAAAGAGGTGTGCCTCAGGATATGGCTGGAGCTCCTATTTTGAGTCTTCCAATGCCATCCTTTCTTAGCCCATCTCCACCCTCTTCGCATCCAGCGAATCCCCCAGGCTGTGAACCCTGCAGTGGAGGAAGCGGTTCCTGAGTAACCTGCGCCCGCCCCCCCGCCCCCCCCCACTCCATCAGAGGGCTGGTCTCAGGTAATGTAATTGTGTGCTTAGGGTCTGACTTTCCCACGTGAGCTCCTCAAGGGCACAGACTCGGAATTACTCACTTTACATCCCAGTAACTCCCGCTCTGTCTGGTAGGTGACAGTTTAACAAAGGCTGGCAAATGAATGAAGACAGATCTGTCCCTTGGTCCTCAGTCATGAACTCACGCTGCTGCTGGTGTTCTCTGCCGTGCATTTCTAGTCTTGCTTCTGTAGTTCCTCTCCTCCCCCAGATAAAATAATGAAGCCAGACTTCTTACCTTCAAAAGGCTAGTTCTATTTCTAAAGCTATTTTGTGGGTTCTTTTGAGAGGCTTGAAATGTCTCCTATTTCCCCCAGGAGAGTCCAGGTGAAGGGTTGGCAAATGGTGCCGCAAACCGAAAGAACTTACCCTTGAAGTTAAATGAAAATGACACTGTGTCCCTTCTCTTTTAATTTCAATCCCTGTCTTTGTCAGTTGGCAGGGACTATGCAGGTTGGAAAAGCTTCGTTCCTTCCCCGCCCCCATGCCCTGGAATTCCTTGTAACCCCGTGTGATTTCTGAATTTCCCTCACTGGTTTTTATTGCTTAAGTGTACTTGAAATAACCTTTGAATATGGGAAAGGGTTTCAGCACAGTCCCACGGTAGCAGGGGACAGTCAGTGATTGTAGGAAAGTATTTTTTTACAGCCCTGACAGCAAGAGGCTGTTTTCTCGGATGGGCACTGGACAAATGTGCTGCACAATGGCTACTTGTAGAGGTTAGAGTAACTTCTTTGGTTCACATTTCTCCAGAAGGTGATCCCAGGTCGGTGGCCTGGTTAAGGCTCTTCCTTGTTTCAGTCCACCTGGTTATTCTCATGCTCATCAGACCTATGATTCCCTCTTTGATGACGCTCCCATGGCCAAAGGGGGGTATCCTGTCATCTTGGCACCTTGTTGCAAGAACAAAGTGGTCACCTCCGAGCAGGGTAAGCCTTTTCCAAATCACCTTTGTTCGGGGCTCTGAAGGAGCTGAGTGACTAGCAGCCAGGACTGTCCTACTGGGCAGGGGCAATCGGCTGCAGGGCATTAGCAATTGCCGTGGAGACTATCAATCATCTCATGAAACCTGCTGGGAGGGGGTGGGAATGAGAAGCCACAAGAAAATCATCTGCTTTTGGAGGTGGTTATTTAAGGCACTGGATTCTGGAATTAGAGGGAAGCTAAGCTTTGTAACTTCCCTTAAGAAATGCACCTGATGTGTACATGAGGCCTCATGGTCTACAGCGCTCTCAGGGCCTAAAGCTAGTTTTGTGTGTACGGTGTCAGTGTGAGGGTCTCTTTACATATGTATTTGCCCCACTGGGCCCATATGTATAGCTTGATGGCTGTAGGATTTCCCGACTGCCATGTGGAATCCTGTTCTTAGGTTTTCTGTTGAGAAGCTAGTAGCAGGTCACGATGATTTTGGGCATGATTTGGCTCTCCTGTCCTGAGGACCTACTGTGTGCTGAAGGCTTCACCTGCATCATCTCTGCTGGTTCTCAGGAAGCCTGTGTAAGATGGTGTTGTTTATTCTACAGGCGAGGAAATAACCTCCTAAAGGCCATGGAGCTCGTAACCGTCAGAGCAGGGACGTCACCCCAGCTGGCTAATCTCATGCTCTTCCATTGCGGCCCCTCTGTAGAGGGTGGGGGTCTGATGAAGGGCCACCCTCTGGTCTGCTAGTAGGCAGTCCCTTGGGGGCTGCTCATGGCAGCTCCTGGGCCTCTCGGGGTGCACTCACTCGTCTGCCTCTTGGCCTCTTCCAACAGTGTGATGCATCCTCCGTCTTTGAGAGAACCAGCCAAGACTGTCTCACCTGGTAACACCCGGTAGGGGTAAGAGGTTCAGGATCCCTGGCACTGGCCACCCTGGGCTTTGTCCATCAGTCCAATTGATTGATCCTGGAGTCTGGGGCGAGCGTAATGTCTAAAGCATGGGATTCTGACTTTGTAAAATGTCTTACAACGCAATCACCATTGAAAGAGCTGCATTTTGTTGTTTTTCTGGATGCTTAATAGTCTGGACACTCAGGCGCTGCCCTCTGAGCGAGTGAGGGCCCTGCAGGGGCTTCGGGCGAGCCGCGCAGTGCTGGAGAGGAGACCACGGCCATCGCGGCACAGTCACTGCCTTGTGAGGTTTGTGTTTCTTAACATGAGCTTCTTTTCCTTGTGGGGAAGACTCCAGACTCCACGGACAGGCCGGGGCTGGCTGGGGCTGGGTTTCCCTTTCCCTGACTATGTGCCTGCTTATTTCTCTTTCTAAGGATTGGACCCGCCCATGTCCCTTAAAGAAGGACTGTCTTCTAAGAAAGGGAGAGGACAAGCCAGAGGCCTCCCGGTTCACTGTCTCATCGCAATACTGACCAACCCCCGCAGGCTTAGCGCCTCTTTCCTTTAGATCTCTAAGCGGCCCCACTGGGGACAGGGGGGCACCGGTGGTGACACGGCCAGTCTGGCTCTCCAGGGCTGTGAGGGGAAGTCATTTACCTCTAACCTCACAGCCCACAACTGCCAAATGAGAAGGACAATGTCCATGCTGCAAGAATAAGCATGATGAGTTTAGCACCTGCCAGCATGCAGATGGTTCATAAATGATTGTTGTTCTTCTTGCTACGTAACAATCTTACTTAGGCTTTCCAAACTCATAGGAGTTGGGAGGGCTCAGCTCTAGTGGCCCTTCTTCCTCACCTTACTCTCCCTCCTGCAGCTCTTGGCTGGCCTGACCACAGAATCCACCTTGCAATCGTATGCAAATACAGACTGTGTCTTATCTGCCTGCTAGATTGAAGCTCACAGAGGTTAAGGCCTCAAGACAACAGGCTAGTTGGTGGTGGAACTGGGGTTTGAACACTGACCCGTATTCCTTATCCCAGGAAAATGGGAAAAAATAATTTAAGGCACCAAGTTCTAGGAACTTGCACAAGGCACTTTCCCTCACTTTTGCTTTGAGGTGGAATGAGCGGTTCTGCGCTGACCCTCACTGGGCACAGGGGCCAGGCCAGGCCTGCTGGTCTCCAGCATGCAGCACAAATGATGGGAACCTACCAACTTGCCAGTTTCCCAATCAGGGTGGACTGCACCCTGGACCCCTTGTGGACTGGACCCCTTGACATATGGGTCCAAACTCCTGCTAGAGGACAGCCGTGGAGGAAGTGCTCGGAGGGTGCTGGGCCAGCAGGAAGTGGGAGCTGTTCATAGCACAGAGGATGTGGCTCAAGTCAAGGTATGAGAAATGAAAGCTAGGGAGGAAGTAGAAGGGGGATCCGTAGGTGCCTCGAGGACAAGGAAGTGGCTTTGTTGGCAAAGGTGGAAGGAGAAGACAGCATGGAGGCTGAGCGCTGGGTGGGGGTGTGTGTGGAAGCCGTGTGCCCTCTTTCAGTGTCTGCGTGAGGAGCAACACTGGGGCACCAGGTGAGACTTCTGATGCATGCAGGTTCCGAGTCATTTCTCAGAGGAGCCACTTTTGGGGAGCAATGTAACTTCCGAAGGCAATGAACCACTGAGTTCAGAGGTCTAGCAGACAGCAGTGAGGTCCCTTGGGACGTGCTGCTGGCCGGGAGCTCCGCTAGGGGCAGGAAACCCACTGAGCTCCAGTGTTAAGTAATTCCATCCTCACAATGACACTGAGAGGTGGGCAAATGCTATTACCCACACCTGACAGAGAGGAGGCAGCTCAGAGTCCCAGTGCCCAGGTAACTTGTCCAAAAGCAGAGGTCGGCAGGCAGGTTGATCTCAAGCAGTCTGTCTGATGCCAGAATCAAAATTCCTTCTGCCAAGGGGCTTCTTCATATCCAGGTCTTGCTTGGAAATTTTTCTCCCTTTACATGTGAATAAGGAGCATAATCAGAGGCCATTTTTTAGGTCAGGGGTCCCTTTGGAAGCCAGGTGAAAGCCAGTATCTAAGAGGACATCTACCCTATGATTTAGGGGCTAGGGATCCTGTGAGTGCATCTATTAGCCCCTTAATGTCCACGGACACAGTTCAGGAACTCTGGAGATAGAGGAAGGGAAGCCAGAAGTCAGAAAAGAAAGAGGCCTCAATGGAAACAGATTCAAAGACTGAATTGTCAGTCCAACATGTGCATTATGAATTTGTTGCCTTGATCATAACTTGTCTCAATAAACATGGCTGTATTACCTCATGTGATAAATGTTGTTGGTAACGTATGTGTGAAGACAGACAGCTCATTTGGACATTCTACAGGTCCGTTTTTTTTCCTATCATAAAAGCCAGAACATAAAATAACTGAAAAGGACAGGTCAGAAAGCCGAATCTGTAGCATCGCTTCCCTTCCATTCCCATCAGGTGTCTTATGCTCAGGGCTATGCGCCACGTAGGGATAATGCTGTGAAGTCATCCAGGACTTTTCACAACATTGTTCCAGTAATCTTCAGAGGACCTGTGTCTCATAAAAATATGGTTCTCTGTATGTTGTACTAAATGTGTTATTTATTTTATACCACTTTTGAACAATCCTTAAAAATGCTCGTGCACAGGGGACTGTGGGCTGTTGGAAATGGAAGGGAGCCCAGAGACCATCTGGCCCAAACTGTCTCATTCTGCAGATGGGGAGACTGAGGTGGACAGAGCTTAAACTGACAGTCTCAGGGTGGCTGGTTGGCTTGATGGCCAAGCTGGGACTAGAACCCAGGTGTCCTGAAGTCTTACAGGGCCCAGTGCAGTGTGACCCATCTATCCCCCAGCACACAGTAGTTACCTGTTACATGTGTGGCCAGGTAGAACTTTCTTCTGACCTGGCTCCCTCCTGCCTTCTGCTCCACAGTCCTGGAAGGAGGGGATCTCTGGTCAGAGAGGGGAAGGCACGGATACTTTGCTTGCTGAGACCCCACACTCACGCTGGGGGCCACGACCATGGCCACAGAAAGGTGTGCTGGTTCAGGTGTGGTAGGACTGCCCCCGCCTCTGGGGCTGGGACCAGAAATAATGGCCAGCACCACCCCAAGGACAGGGGACAGTCCAGGGTGGGGCGGTATCCAGGAGCCAGAAAGATCCAGAGGCACCAGAGTGGGGAGAAGGGACAGGGCACCCTGGAGGAAAGGACCCTGTGTGGCTTGACAGGTGACTTGGTGGGAAAATGGAAACAATGTGGCATAGTGTCCCCTATGCTTTTGTGTGTGTGGGAACCATTTGAGGTGGAGGGGAGGGTCCAGCTGTCAGCAAGTAGAATGCGCCTGCCGGTGCACATTGGGCCCAGGCACTGTGGGAAATGAGTAGAAGTTCGGGTCTCCACTTTTAAATTTCTTAACCTCAGAGGTTGGTGTGGTCAGGCGCCAAATTTAGCCACTTAACCTCGGGTGCTTTGTATTTTCAGGCATTTTCCCCCTTTCAATTGGGCTAAAACCTGGCTTGAAATGCAGTCCACATTATTGCCTTCTGGGCAAACTTGGGTAAGTGGGTCCCTTAAGTTCTCTGATTCTTGGTTTCCTGGCTGGCTGAGTGGAGCTGCAAGTAAGCAAAACACACCCCGCTTTAAGAGTGAAGCTAGAACTCCAGTTAGAAGGCAAAGGAGCGGGCTCTGGTCAGATCACAGTAAGCTCGGTCCAGGGAAGGGCGTGCCCCCAGGGGGGAGGCCATCCTGGAAGCAGAAGGAGGGACTTGGGGAGCAGACCCTGCTGGCCACCCACTGCAGGGAGAGCCCCCAGCCTGGACTGCCGTGCTGGGCTGGTGGTGCCCTGTCGCGGGAACCACACCCTGATGCCAGGATGTGTGCAACCCATGCACCGTGCTCCCTGCTCTCGCTCTGAGGTCACTGAGCAAACTTCTGGTTCAAATTTGGCTGTTCAATTCCCATGTAATTTGCCTACGTGGAACGAATCTTTGGCTGCAGTAAGAAAGAGCTGGAACTCCTGGGGGTCGTATTTTGTTTTAATAAACGCATAGGTTGGCACTCTGGTCTCTGTACTTTGGTGTCCTGAGGGCTGGTGAGCATGACTCAGTATCGTTCTCACACGCCCGGCCTCTGACCCAAGCCACTGCGTCCACCCTGCTGGGCTCCTTCCCCCTAGCTGCTGCCCCTGCCCCTCCCCCTGACCCCATGCAAGGGCTCAGAGCCACTTTCATTCCTGGTGGGTGGCTCTGGGCCTGCTCAGCCCCACAGTTGCATGCCATCACAGCTTAGGAGGAGGGGCTGGGCCCACGGCCAGAGCCAAGAGGCCTGTTGGCCCTCAAAATCGCTAACTGAATGAATGAATGACTGGACTTACAGAGGAGGCTAATAGAAGGCAAAGCTCTGGCATTTTGGGGGGTCCCTCTGTGGAAGGAGCAGCAGGCATGGAGACCTGGGGTTCTAGACTGGGCTCTTCCTTTGACTCTCTGCAAGGTCACAGGAACGTCAACAGGTCCTTATTTGTAAAGCAAAGCTGTCTGAGTCACGGCCTTGGTGTGGATGGGAAGGTGCAATCTCCCATAGCTTTAAGGACACTTAATATTAATTGTTAAGTTCAGTGAAGTGAACTGAATACAGAATCTTCAAGTTCACATGCAAGGGTGAAGGACAAGATGATTTGAAAGGAGGAGAACATGATGTAGGACTTGTTCTCTAAATATGAAGACTTATTAAAAAGTTGTTTTATTAAGATAGATAGTGCATTGAGGCAAGAATAGAAAGTGAATCAATTGAACAGACCAGAAAACCCAGAAATTGACCCACATGGGAAGCTGGTGTAGAAGACAGGCAGAATCACAAATTAGTGGGGAATGTGTGGGTTTGTCCTCTGGCACATTTAGTTGTCCATATGGGCAAAAAGTTGTCTTTACCTCACCAAGATACCAATTCAGGTAGATTAAAGACAAACATGGGAAATGTGGAAATGTAGGAGACTGTCTTCTAACATTAGGGAAAGCATATCAAATAAGACACAAGATGCAAAAACCATAAAGGGAATATTCATAAATTTTGGTATTAAAATTAAAATTCTTGTGCAATAAAGATAGACAGCCATGTATTGGAAGGTATCTGCAATAAATTTACCAATGAAAGTGTTTGGAATATATAAATAGGTAACAGTATGACAGTTCCTAAAAAACTTAAGCATAGAATTACCATATGGTCCAGCAATTCCATTTCTGAGTATATACCCAAAATAATTGAAAGAGGAGACTCAAATATATATTTGTACACCCATGTTCATAGCAGTACAACATCCAGAAAGTGGGAGCAATCCAAGTGTCCATCAATAGATGTATGGATAAGCAGTATGGTGTATACATATAGAACGGAGTATCACTTAGCCTTAGAAGGAAGGGAATTCTGGTACATGATATGATGTGGATGAACCTGTGAAGCAAGCCAGTCACAGCGGGCAGACACTGTCTGATTTCACTTACATGGGGTCTCTAGACAGACTCGGAGAGCAGACAGTAGCATGGTGGGGGCGGGGCGCTGGGGGTGGAGGGGCTGGGGAGTTAGTGATTAACAGGGACAGCTTCAGTCTAGGAAAATGAGGTCCTGGAGAGGGAGAGAGGTGATGGTGGCATCACTTTGTAGTGCTTAGTGGCCTGAACTTTACATGTAAAAATGGTTAAAATGGTACATTTTATATTATGCATATTTTATCACAGTAAAAAGAAATGTGATACACGTCACAATGTGGATGAATCTTGCAAACATGCTAAGGGAAGGGAGCCTGTTACTGAAGACCACATGCATGATTCCGTGAAAGTTCCAGGATAGGCAAACCTAGAGGGACAGAGAAAAGGTTAGGGGAGGCTGAGGGGGAGAGGGAAGTGAGGGGACTGTGGGGGACGATGGCTAAGGTGTACAGAGATTTTTTTGGGGCACTAATAGAAAATATTGTATAACTCTAAAAATTAATTCTAGAATTGATTGTACGATGGATGTGCAACTCTGTGAATTTACTAAAAGCCACCAAATTATATACTTCCAGTGAGTGAAGTATATGTTGTGTGCATTATATCTCAATAAAGATGTTCCCCCAAAAGTTAGAAAAGAATATATAAATAACTCTTCAAAATAAGGAAAGTTAAAAACAACAAAGAGAAAAACGGGCCATTAGAGAATTCTTGGAGCAAGAGGCCTCAAAGACTGTATGTGTATGTAAATTTGTGAGAACAAGTCTGACTCCAGGGAAATGCAGGTCAGAGCAACAATGAAATTCTATCTTGTACTCATCAGATGGGCAAGAATGCAAGTCTTTTAATACTCACTGCTGGGGGAGATGTGAAGCAATGAGAACTGTCACACAGCCTCGTGTGGAAACACAGATCGGTGCAGATGTTTGCAGCATGCTTTGGCAATACCTGACAAATGTGGAGAGCGCTACACTGTGACTCAGCAATTCTACTAGCACCTACCTGAGGGGGTGCCTCCTACCAGGCCTGAGGTGTGATGTGAAAACATTAGTGCCATAGAGCTTGCGACAGTGAACACTTGGAAATGTCCTAAATGTCTATCCCTGGCTAAGGGATAAACAAATTGGCACATAGTCAAACAGAATAAGATACGCCGATACAAAATGTAGTGCACTTGGACTGTATTGATGTGGATGAATTTTCAAACAAACAAAAATACATGATATATAGCAAGTAAAAGATAAATAGCATACACCATTTATGCAATGTTTATAAGCAAGGAAAACAATATTCACATAGTTTATAAAAAGGGCTTCAACCATCTGCAGTTTCTTAAATATCTTTTTCTCTTCTAAAATGAATGGCCTGAAGAAAATATGTCAAAATGTTAAGAATTATGAAATCTCACAGGTATGTCTGTAGGCATTTTTTTATATTCTTTGTATAATTTTCTGTATGTTTGAAATACTTTATAATTCAAAAGACATTTTAAAGATACACAAACTGCCATGTAATTGAAGTCATGTACATTATTTTGGAAACATATGCTTCCCCAAATTCCATTAATGGGAACCCACCTAGGAAGTTTGTTAGGCGGGAGCGTAACGAGGCTGCCTCCCAAGTCTGGAGTCACCCTATACAAATAGTCAAGTCAATCGTCTCCCATGTGAGCAACTCAAGGGCATGTCCTAGGTCCTACCTGCCCTATTCCTCATGCCCAGTATAATGTGTAGCATAGCCGATTGCCAAGTGGGTGAACCGTCACCGACAGTACTCAAGGAGGTGATGCTGACAGCAACCTGAAGAGCTGTTGG